AAAAAAAAAGATAGACAAAAGAAAATATACTCTGCTGAATTTTAATGTTCCAATGGAACTAGTTAAAAGGTTTAACATGATGGAAAACAGTATTTATACCCTCATCATACTGAAAAATGCCTGAAGTGATTTTGTTAACATTTTCCAAAACAGGTACTAACACTTGAAGTAGACAAAACCCTGACATTTTTGGATTACAATAACATGAATAACTGGTAAATTTATAAGCCTGTAAAACTAGCAGCAAGATCACATTTCGGGGGGGATGACTTTCACTACTGCAGGATTGCCTGTGCAAAAATATACACTTAAACACAGTGTACAGTAAAAGCAGATCCAAAAATAGAACTTTATTATTATTATTATTTATATTGCCACTGTAAATAAAAGCAAGTCATGGCATGCCTAGTTAGCTACTGTGACATGAAACACAAAACTCATAGCACTGTTCTTAATAGCTATGTTTAAAAAGGGTTATTTTGTTATGGGAACAACAAAAAGTCCTTTTGGGTTAAGACTGTAGTAGACAACATGTGCTTTAACATGAAATTTCTTTGAAAAGTAATTTGTAGACATTGAAGCAAGAATCTCTACACCATTAACAAAAAGCACCCTACCTAAACGTGCTGTTCAGCTGAAAGATATTTACCTCTGAGCATAGGAGAGCAGGATGAAAAATATTGCTCTAGTTTTTAAAATGAGGACTAAGAGGAAGTCCAAAAATTGTACCATCTTTAATGTGTCTATCCCATTTGTTTTCACTTGTGTGACATCTGAAAAGCATCTATTGCATATGAAAAGCCCATGAGTCCTACAAGTGGCTAGCAACTATCGATACCCACAGAGTTCCAGCTGGGAGAACCTGGGGCTCTGGGCCTGCAAGCCACCACTGGCAAAGTCCCCTTGGTCAGTGTGAACCCCAGGCTGAAACGCTGACAGGTATCAACCCTGAGCAAACGGCTGCTCCCATGCATCAGCAGAAAGAGCAGCAAGCAGTTCAAAGAACACAAAGGTTAGAAAACAAGCAACATATCGAAAGCAAAAGGTTGGGTTTTCTTTGTGTGCCACTGAGTACATAATCACCTTTTATTGTTTTTGAAATCTGGCCAGGAGATACACTAGGGAGTCTAAAGGACAACTGGGCACAAGTATTAACAGATACTTGGGCTCTGCGTGTTCTGGGTGACAGAAAAGTGGCTGAAGGTACCAGCTTCCTGAACCATAGCTCCTGACCAAGCTGCTCACATAAAGACTTCCCTGGCACCAAGCAAGGTGGTTGTTTCTGTGTTATTGGTTATAATTTTGACACTGTACTCAGAAGTAAAATGTTGTGATTCCTGGCACGATAGGCACAATACAAATCTCATGATGGAAGAGAGAGAAACATACCTAAGAAAAACAATGAGGCTCTTTATCAACGATGCTGGTAAAAACTGAACACATTATTAAAATAGATGAGTTAGGTGTCATTTACCTTCTCTCCCAGGTAAGATGGTGGTGCTTTCCAGTATAAATTGTGCACAGAAGCAGGCAATTCTTGAACATCAGCCACCACACTATTACTGACTGGATTGAAAGTGACTGGAATGTCAATATTTTCATCCACTGCCTCCAAGCGCCAGTTCCTCATGTCCACAAACTAATGAAAACATATAAAGGAAATAAAAGCTTGTCTCATCCTTCATTAAGCTTTACCAGCACCAAGTAACAATGTGAAATTGTTTAGCCTCTATAACTCCCTTAGCATGAAATTCAGCCCCTCCAGAGCCAGCCTAAAGTCTTTGTGCAAGGGATGTTGCAAAGACCTCAAAAGAGAGTGGGAGTGGAACAGATGTACCAAAGCTACTTGGGATGCAGGCATTTGGTCTGTCATCTGCAAACTAAATTCTATCTTCAGTCACATGAAGATATAACCTTTCTGGAGGTGACTGGGAATTGTGTACACAAAACCAAGGATATAATTTGGAGGTGCTTTTTTAAGTCCATTCCAAAATCAAACCAAGGACACAAACCTAAAAGATAAAGTGGAGACCTGTTGTGGTAGCTTAACTGGGAGGGAGGGGACATGGCAGGATATTTTGGAGAGGCAGGCAATGTAGCCTAATATTTTGTCTCTAATGCACAATTTATGTCACACATTTCTTAGGTTTCAAAATGCATCTATGATGTAGACATGCAAAATGATACATACACTTATCAAAGCCTCCTGAAGGAGACCATTGACTCTAATGATGAACCAGTGTCTGAAGATAATGCAATAGAACTTCAGTCCAACTACTGATTTGTAAACAAAGAGGTGAAAAGGGCCATTTCTTCTAAAAGGAACTTCCAGACTACACCTGGAGTCTTAACAAGGCTGCACTAAATCTGCAGTATTGCTTGCAGAATACTTCTCATCCTTAGAAACTAATAAAACACATTTTTAATTTTGGAAGAAATCTAGCATTTCCTTAATGGAATAAACATAGGCTCATGACAGCAAAGAAAAAAACTGCTATTGAATACACCTTGGTTCTACGACGATTTGTGCTGCGACAGTTGCTGGTTGCCCCAAAACAAAAGCAAGAGGTGCATCCTTTGGGATTAGAAGGGTCCAGGTAAAAGGATCCCGGTCGGCAAGTATCACATTCTGCTCCTTCAACGTTTTCCTGTTAAGGCATAGTTGAAAGAAATCTCAGTGCTTTCCTTTTGGTTTTGGTGAGGCCTCAAAAATCTCCTGCACGTAAAACAAATCTTCCGAACGCATATTTATTTAAAAGTATGGAAACATGAATGAAAATATGTGAATGCCTGGATACACCCTATTCCACATGCAAATAAAACTGACTTCTTGAGAACTATCTTAGTTATGAGCTGTCTTTCCAGTTTATAAAGCGAACCACTGAGTAATAAATATTAGTCAGAGACAGCTGCTAACTTCCCTGCCAAAACCCTCCTGCTGGCTTTTCCAAACCTACAATATAAAAGGTCACTTGTGAAAGTTCACATTCATCACATTCAATTATGCAGATCAGAACAAAAGAAGATTTCCTGCATATAATGATGTGGTGAAATGTCAACTAACATAATATGGCTAAAAAAAGCATGAGACCTGGTTAACATCCAAAAGTTGAGATGCAGAGGCATAAAGCGGATCAGTGCAGGGTAGAGACTGCTTCAGAGAATCAACAGACTTCTACTCTGCAGCCCTGTAACATCCCACAAAGCCTACGACTGCCTGTAAAACTGATATTGAACTCATTAAAAAATGACATTTAACCACTACCATGCCAATCTGTGCAAACTCTGCAAGGTGTGATGGTTTCGCGCAGCTGCATTTAATTCTTACTGAAAACTTAATGATAAACCCACTTCATTCACCCCATTAAACACGAAATAGTCACTGAGGCGCAAACGATGCTTATGAATGCAGACGTAATTTGATTTATCTGACCTTGCAGAGACAAATTCCTGTGTGGGGATCGCACACATCTGGCTCTGTTCCATCTCTGTTACAGTTACACGGCAGGCAGTTTGGGAAACCGTAAGTACCAGGAGCACAGCGATCACACTGCCGACCTTTTATTCCTGGTTTGCACCTTTATCAACAAACACACACAGAGGAGGGAGTCAATAGGGGAGGCAGGAACGGAGCGAGGAAGGGAAGATTAAAACAAAAGGCAGGTGGATCTTTGAAGTGATTGCATGGCTATGACACAACTTTATGATTTCCATGGAGAAACAGCAGCAGGTTAGTATTGTTCTCAGATTTGAATGGTGATACCTTTGAAATGGTCATGGAACTGGTTTGTAGTGGATTTGATTTTGAAGGACCTAAATGCTCACAGTAGAATTAGACTCCCGCAGCTCTGGCAGTGCAGCACCACTCCCTCTATACACCGTGGTGAGAAACATGGATGTTGCACACAGGTAAGCGGTGCTGGGAGAAGTTTTATAGCTGCAGGATGTGACTGGGCATTACTCAAGGTACACACTTGCTCACAAATAGGGGGAGAATCCCAGGCAACATGCCACAAGGCTTGGCCTAGTTTACAACTGTTCAACCACTTTACTCGCAGTGAAGGCTGAATGCCTTGAATTTGTTTAGGTGAGGTACGGCAGATGCAAAAACCAACACCAAACTATTAACAAGGCTTGAGATGAGAACACCTTTCCATGGCAGCTGCTACTTCATCCTACCTTCACAACAAACCTGCACAGTCTGATAAAGCTAGTGAAAATGTAGGTCTGATGATCCCTCTTCCTTCTGTCTATGCTGCTAAACCGTCTGTACCAACCCAAAGCAGGTTTCAAGAGAGTAAGGACCCATTGATAAGGAACGTCTGCCACCACTGCCATCCACACCTTTACATTTTAGTTGTGATAAGGTAATTTTTAAAAGTCTCAGCGACTTGGTGGAGACTCCTGTGGCTCTCAGCACAAAATTAATATGTGCACTAACAGTAGGAATTTAATGGAAATAAACAGTTAAAGTATGCGGACAAGATAGACTACACCTTATGCAATACATGAAAGCAAATACTAATTCACCAAACAATGGGCGAGGTCTCTCAGAGTCTCTCT